TTGTAGAAGATGTTTCCAAAGTGATTTTCCCTATAGACTCCAATGGCTGCGTAATGGATCTGCCGCGACGCGAACCGCCCGCGCAGCCAGCTACGTAGATTTAGATGGCGCCCTAGGGTTGCCGATCTGTGTGGAGCAGAGCAGTCGCATTCCGATAAATGGAAGAAAATTTTGGATAGGTGAGTTGTTGATTCGGGATCATCGGACTTTTACTCTCCGATATATTATCATCCATGTATCACATACAAACATAAGGTATATGAAGCGTATTACTAGTAAAAAAAATACGATTCTGATGTCAGCATTTCGAATTCAAAGAACTCGTGGTGTCTTTTGGACTTGGTCTGTTTGCTGCATTCGCACCCTGTGTATCAAAAATGTAATTCTGCGTGTTATAGGAGTGGTGTCACTCGTGTGGGAGCGATGAAAGCTGCCAGCCACATCTTTGTAGTGAATGCGACCAGAGGGGAACGCACTCGACTGGTGCAGGCCAAGTCACGAGGAGCGCAATTTGTGCGTGCCAAGTGGGCGTTGGCTGGCTGCAGGGCAAAGGATCTGATTGGTGTAGAAGGAATAGAAATTTGCATCCTATAGTACTTATGTTAATTTTCCCTTTGAAGAATATTCTGGGATCCCGAAGATACCGTCCTCGCACGGGTTTTGCATCCTAGTGATGCCTGTGAGGATTTAGAGACACCCAGGGTAAGCCTCGTCTCTTAGAAGTGTTTTAATGCACTTTTTTTTCTTTATTCTTTCGCACTTTCGGTTCAACCAATCTTTGTTCTTTGAAGGAGAAATTGCAAATTTACGTTTACGTTTATGCTTATAGCGTTCCAATAAGACTGTATCGTCGAAACCAGAAGGTTTAGCCCGCCAGCAAAGAACTGTCAGCTTCCGATTATTTAAACGTAGCTCCCCTTGGAGATGTATCTAATCCAGATGTTTCTTGTTTATTTCGGTAGGGCTCGATTTCCTTATTGCTTCTTGAGAGACTTAAAGTCTGTATTATTTGTCTCCATAATTTTCAGAGCGCTCAAATTCGTTTATGGGGGTTAAAATCGGATATGGAAGCGTAGATATCTAAAGAATTATGCTCTGCCGGAGTTATGGATCTTGATTGTAACAGTTCAAAGCTTTTCACGCGCCTAAGATCATATCACATTTCTTAGCTTTCCATAAAGTGCTTTGTTTCTAATATTGTCCACTGGAATACTAGTTCTGGCAATAACAGATCAGGGCCGATTTTAGATTTTCCCCAAGTTCCTCATGGTCTTGTTAATTGATAGATACTGTAAAAGGATTACTAACTCTAGCGTTATAGAACATAATAGATGCAGCGCAACACATTAGCAATTTGTGACTACGAGACTATGGTACAATGTAGTGTGTCATTAGCTTTGATGAATGACGCTTCATTTGAGCAAAAATTTTATCGCTCAATTTTCGAGTCGTTCTGTCAGATTAGGACCATTGCGATCATCCGCGATAAATTACTGTCACCAACTATCGAGCCAAAATATGGAAAAGTCACTCGATCAAAGAGAATTACAAATAAAATTGCTGTCAAGACTCCCCTGCAAGTTAATACTTGCATCAAAGTCGAAGCTTAAAAGGCAGAAAAAGCCAGCTATTTAACACATTGGAGGGAATAAAGGAGTTGGTTTTTAGATCTCCATCAAAAAAAAAGTTTTTAATCCTGAATCTTTATCTGTTTCCTTAGCTCACTCATAGAAATATATTGGACGCTTGCTTTTATCAGCTGTTCCAGCTTTCATTTTTTTCTTTTATTGGAATACGCTCCATTAAGGTTCAATTACTCCAACTTCTGGGGTGGCGGACTTTATGAACGATAGCTATTGCCAGCCGGCATTTTGGGGCGCGCTTGGTGCGTAGCTCGACGCAGAAATTTAAGCAAATTCGCTCTTTTCAAGCCTACGATAGATTATATTTTCAACCTACGATAAATTATAGTGGCCAAAACAACATATTTCAACAGAAATTTTTTAAATTTTAAACAACATATTCCAGCAAATATTCTATAGGTTCTCTCAAGCTTACATGTAACGATTTTCCTTGTTCAAATAGTTTAGAAGATGTTCTTTACATATCGTGCAATAATGTATATTTGTTTCAAAGACATTCTCCCAATGTTTGATTTTGAACTAAA